CGTGGCACTGGTTGCCAAGTCTGCAAAAACAGACTCTAAACATACATATAGATCTATATATATATATATAGATCTATATGTATATAGATATATATATTACGCCTTAACAAATAAAGTGCAGCAGAAATGTTACCACCGCTACTCATTTCAGTGCCCAAATCTTAAATATTGTTAGTCAAATTATCAATGCAGCAAGCCCTATATAAAAATATACAGGGAATATGGAAGACGTCTGGTGCATAGCTCTCTGTCTCTGGTACCCTCACACATCCTGTGTTTTACTCATAGCAGGTTCTCAGTTATATTCCTGTCCTCTCCTTCACTGACAGATCTTCTCCAAGGTGAAGGGGAAGTGCCACGCAATCAGTGAACACAGGACACTATTATGTAGGACACTGTGCTGTGCTGTTAGGAATTCCTGCTGACATTAGAATTCTACTTAGACTTCGTGCTATGAAAGTCTTCATTGTCCAATGCATGCCTCTCCTCTCACATAACATTTCCATGTTTATTTGCAGATGCCAGACCTGTGCACGAGGAGGATGGTAAAGACAGTTTCTACACTTTGTTTACTTTCTTTACAACTAATACTTTAACATAAGCATTACATTGGTTATTCCCTTAAAGCAGACGTAAAGGATCCTTGGTGAAAATTGCTAGCAGGGACTTTGTATATTTATTTTGCAAAAAAGCTTAATTTCTTACTGCGAGCAAGTTTCTGCCATGCATGTGTAGTTTAGAGAGCAATCTCAGCATGCCGAAGGTGCCAGGATGAATTAGCTCCCATGTGCAGGTGAGAAAGTTATGTCATCTTGGACTGTCCAGTCAAGGTGTCTGAACACTCCAGTACCAAAAATAGAATGGCAGAAGTTGTCAGCAGCAGCTACCAAAGAAAACATTGAAGTTGCGTCGCTGGAGGGGGTGCTTTAGGAGGTAAGTGCAACATAATGTGCAAAATTCTGTGCAGAGCCCCAGTCAATAATATTAGTTCCACTTTAAGAGGAGAATCATATACACAATGCAGTCATTCTGAAAACCGTTTTTGCTGAGGACATGGATGTGTGGGTTGTCCAATGATGTACGTTTAACAAGAATAGGATAGCATTTAATTTGTGCTACTGGAATCCTGTAGTGGGAGAAAACACCGAAAGCAGTGTGGGGCGCAGGGGCAGGTTAACCAGACACCCGGAAGCGTATGGTTACTTGCAGAGGCTGCCTGCTTTTAAGGTGCTCATACACTGGTCGAATTTTGGATGGTTTTTAATGTACCGGCCGAAATTCGTAGTGTGTGGGGCTGCCGGCTCCTTTTCAGCCGGCATTCCTCGATCAGCTGATCGAAGGAGCCTGCTGGAAAATTTTCAAGCGATCAGAGTCAATGAGCCCACGTAAACAGCGGGATTGCTCGATCGACATGCTGTTTGTGTTGATGGAGGAATCGGGTCAATTTTTTTCATTCAGCCCGCGGGTTGAACGAAAAAAATTGATAGGTGTATGGCCAGCCTAAAGACTTGAACTGACTAAAACCTTGAATGCAGCCATCTGATTAGGAACGAGTCTCTACTGTGAGTTCTTCACTTGCATAAGTATAAATCTGGTTCAGCGATGAGTGGGCTTTTTAAGATAGGTGGATAGGAAATATGTGTAGCCAGTAGCTGAGAGCTTCAGCTGCTTGCTACAAATTAGAGTACTAAATATTATTATGGAATATTGAATAATTACCTGGCAAAAAAGAAAAACATTTTTTTACAAATGTTATTCTAGTCTTTATGAAAATAAATTAATAAACAGATTACATGCAAAACCATTACACACTCCCTTTAGTACAGGGTCACTTTGTTAAAGAATACCTGTAATAGAAGAGGCAATATCCTTAGCTTTCCAGCAGCCCCTTTGTTTGCATGATGTCTCCTTGCTTCTTGCTCGCCACAGCAAATATTCAACTGGATCTGTGTCTCCTGCTGTACGCAGCGGTTTCTCCCAATGGCTTCCATGTCACTACACGATATACAAGCCAGCAGGAGGAACCATGAGAGGCATATCAACAAATGGACCACTGAATAGGTATGGATTAACATACAAATGGACCCTGTGCTAACAAGTGACCATTTGCATAATGCATATGGCATAGAGAAGGGAACTCCAGGAAGGAACTAAGGCCTCACGTGCGTGTTGTTATTGACTGTGGCTAGGGATTCCTGCGGCAAGAATGTGCAGATTCTTGTGGCAGTAATCCCAGTTGTGTCTTCTGTGCCCATTCAAGTTAATGACAGGCTGACATCAGTCACATCTGTGCGTGGCTTTCCGCAAGTTATCATACATGGAACCATTACCTGCAGATTGAGAGAGATGCTTGTCCCTGGTCGTGGAGTGATTTTGTCCAGGAACAAGCATCTTTCCCAATCCTCAGGTAATTGTTCCATGTATGATGACATGCGGACAGCCATGACAAATGTTAGCTAGTCATTAACTTGAATTGTCACAGTGGCCCCATCTCTACAGATAACCCTGTGATTCCTACTGCAGGTTCATGCCACAGGAATCAAACACCGTGGGGGGGAATTTATCAAAACTGGAGCAGACAAAATCGGGAGCAGATTTGCACTGCAGCCAATCAGCTTCTCTCTCTTTTTCGAATCTTACCTGAGCAAATTGAAGAGAGAAGCTGATTGGTTGCCATGGGCAACTGCTCCAGATTCTGTTTGCTTCATTTTTGATAAATTCCCCCCCATGTGTAGGAGCCCTAAGACTGAAGTAAAAACATGTCTCCCGATAAAATAAATTTCCTGCATCTATCCTTACCAATGTATATTGATTCCTCATACTTTTATTCTTTTCTAGAGAATGTCATTTGTAATTATTCATCTGAATAAAATAGAGCAAGCTCACCTAATCATATCTTTATACTTTTTAAAATGCTTTCCAGATCGATATTTGGATGCCCCAGCTCACCCTTACTGGCCCTTCTCTACCTCAGATTTCTGGCAGTATGTAAACCATTTCCGTGCCATGGGCGCCTATGAAAACATCAATGACTTGGCTCGTACATTCTTTGCCCACTACCCTATTGAAGAAACTCTGGGATATGATCACACCGATCATTAGGAGGCTGTTTCTATTTCCCCTGCTAATCTCCAGTATAGTTGTATATACACAAGCACTATATTCCTGAAGATTTCCCCCCAGAGATGACAGGCTGTGCCCACATGCAAAATCCAATCAGTTTGCTCACTGTCGGTGCACCAGTCTGTCCTTCAATAACTGTCTTGAAAATGTTATGCTTTTAATGCTGGTGTCAGCTTCTGTCATCCCTCCTGTCCACCAGGAAAGAAGAGACCCGGAAACAGTCACTTTTCTGTAAAAATTATATGTGGCACCATATTTATAAGCAATAAAGTGATGGCTATGGATTACCACTTTCTATTACACTTATTTGAAAATGTTTTATTTGTTATGCTTACTATGGCCACCATGTATTCTCCTAACAGGCATGTTTAACCTCCCTGGCGGTATGATAATACAGGATTTTAGCATGCCAAAGCGGTACATTGTTTTTCATGGCAATTTGTTGTTTTTTATTGTAGGCTTGTCATTCTTAGTAAATCTTAGGAATAACTCACCTAAATCTATCCAAACAAGAGTTCAGTAGACATCCCGGGTATGATAAAGTTTGAAACACGAAATCATAAAAATAATTAAAAAAAAAATAATAATAAACAAAATGGTCCAGTAAATGGGAATTCTGGGGGCACTGCCTGATCCGTACCACAGTCAATAGAGTACAGTAAAAGTGCAGGCAGGGCAATGGACAAAGCTCTGGGGACAAAATTGAAGGGAAATAGTTTGATACATAGATGTAATTATAGCAGATTACATTGTATTTTGTGTATTCTGTGTAAATATCATGTGTGCACTTTTGAATTTCCCACCGGCTCCGCCCCCGCTGTGATGCCCGAAAACGAAACTTAAATCCGAATGCCGGCATCGGCCGGGCGCACACAGCAGAGAACACCGCGGGCTTGCAGGGACAAGGTAAGTGACACTTTTGCGCAATCCCGAGTGTGGCTCGGGGTTACCGCTCTTGGTACTGAAAATTAACCTCCGAGCCACACTCGGGAATACCGCCAGCGAGGTTAATGAATGAAATAATATACAGTGGTACCTCGGTTCACGAACTTAGTTCATTCCACGATTCTGGTCGCGAACCGAATAAAACTGCGATCAGACCGCAATCTCGACTAGACGAAGCCACGGCCATGTGTCAGAGCAGGGAAGATGGCTGCGGTTGTGTTCGTCACCCGATGCGGAGTTCGCGAACGGAAGCAAAATTTTGCCGAACTTCCTGTTCGCGAGCGTTCGTGAACCGAAGCGTTCGTGAGCCGAGGTACCACTGTATATCTGTTACTGTTACATATACTGATCACTGAGATTTTGGTGTGATAGTGATAACAAAATGTGATTACACACCCAGCCCACCAAAAGCTGATACTTTAGTTTATTAGCAAAAGCTGGAGAATTAAATAAAAAAAGTTGTTTCTTTTGTGTCTCAAAGACCTTAGTAGTCTCTTCAAAGAAATAATTAAGCCTGAACAGACTACACACAAAGTTTACACAAAATGGGTCACATGTGGCTTAAATATCAAAAATATGTAATATTTTAATAATAACCAATACAGCAAACATCAGACACTACACTATCACCCATTAAAATGATGACAACATTGTCATTAAGAACACCATGCCCAAAAAGGGTCCGGACCACACTGATCCCCACACACTCTTCATAATCCAGAGAACTCTTTTTCGTGATAAATTGAATACAAAATATCCTCTAAGGATGTGGGCGCCTTGGACATAATAAAATGTCTACATAGAGACAAGGTTGCCGTGGAAGTAATACATATGCCAGCATATGCATACTGTATGTGTGAAAATCTTGATAAAGTTCAAATCATTCCTAAGACATGCAGGGGGGCATTTATCAAAACTGGAGCAGAGAGAATCTGGAGCAGTTGCCCATGGCAACCAATCAGCATCTCTGTACAGTTTGCTCAGGTGAGATCTGAAAATGAGAGAGAGAAGCTGATTGGTTGCAGTTCAAATCTGCTCTAGTTTTTGCCTGCTCCAGTTTTTATAAATCCCCCTCACAGTATATCTGTATCATCTCTTCTATAGGCATATTCCACATGTAGATCATCGTGACATGCAGATCCTATTTTTTGAAACACCATCAAATTTAGACCAGCACTGGCGCTGTGCTGGCTGTTTTTTCCAGCACAACCCAACTCAAGAGAAGGCAATTTGCCTTGTAATGAACGGACACCGTTCACGCCGTCATATTGCAGTGCAGTTGAACGCGATGTTGTGCGCTGATGACTGCGCTGTGCCCAAAGAACTTAATGAAATGTCACTTGTGACATTTCAATAAAGTTCTAAAAATTAAACAAAAGCACACGATGTGCAGGGATCGGTGCGTCAGTACTGTGCTGGGCACTGTGCACCAGCTGCTGTGCAATGTAGCGCAGTGGTTGGTGTAAATGGGCCCTAAATGTCTGCACAACTGGCACGACCATGACAAGGAGGTTTCACAATGTACTGGGCACACCATGAACAGATATAAGTGAACATTATTGTAATGGCAACTGTTAACAATTGACAAGAGTTAACAACTGATCAATTTATAACCAGTGAAGGAGGTGCAATTAGCTAGAGGTACAGTTTCATCAAATTATAGTTGGTAAGCTAAGGACAGAACTGCACCCAGCATACACAGCAGAGAAGATGTACACCAGCGCAGGCCGTTCTAGACCAGACCAAAAAAATACTGCATGTCTCATTTTTTCATATGCATGTAAACGCACTGGAACGCACCTGAAAGCCTATTTTAAGCTAAAAAGCAAACAAAACGAAAACATGTCCATTTTGCAGTAAAAATTAGGCAAAAATGCACTGCACTGCGTTTGCAGATCTGCTCCTGATCTGGTCTGGACATGTTGTGAACAAGCACTGAGCCCTGGATCACACCTGAGTGGGTTTTATTTTTGCGCGTTTCTGTGCGTATAAATACACGCAAAACACACGTGCTTTTTGTGCTAAATGTCACACTCAGTTCCAATGCGAAAACATCCCCCCTGTGTGTTCGTACGTGTGGACAAAAATGTACAATGCGAGAAAAGGTACATGCGCGATTTTCTGGGAAGTTGCCATGCATTCTGATTGTGGTTCTAGCTGTGAATATGCGGAAAAACGCACGTCCATTAAAATCTGCACGTTTTTGTCCTCGCGTATGAAGGAAAAGTGTGCTGAATTTCACACGCTCAGGTGTGCATGGAGCCTTAGTGGTTTGGGGCAAAGGCCAGAGTTGCACTTTAACCAGTTGACATCCGGGGTGTTAAACCCCTTTCCCATCCAGGCCATTTTTCAGTATTCAGCGCTGCGGTACTTTAACTGACATTTATTCCGTCATGCAGCGCTGTACTGAAATGAATTTTATACCCTTTTTTGGGGACAGATGGAGCTTTCTTTTGGTGGTATTTATTCACCACATACAGTATATATAAAATAAATAAAATGCAAACTGATATTCAATTCACATTTTTTTAGGTGGCTACCAAAAAGGTCATAATAAACTGACAAACCTCTACTGAGATGATTGCTCTCTACTTCATAATATATCTATTAGGGATGCACCAATACCGTTTTTTGAGTATCAAGTACTGATATTTTTTTCCGGTACTTGTCGATACCGCATACCGATACCGAAAGTCTTATTAGGGAAGCCGGGCAGTGTGTAATGAATCGCCACCCAGCTTCCTGATTAGGCGGGAGGAGAGTCATTGCCTGCCCCCCAGCTTCCTGATTAGGCGGGAGGAGAGTCATTGCCTGCCCCCCAGCTTTCTGATTAGGCGGAAGGAGAGTCATTGGCTGCTCCCCCAGCTTCCTGATTAGGCGGGAGGAGAGTCATTACCTGCCCCCCAAGCTTCCTGATTAGGCGGGAGGAGAGTCTTTGCCTGCCCCCCAGCTTTCCTGATTAGGCGGGAGGACAGTCATTGCCTGCCCCCCCAGCTTCCTGATTAGGCGGGAGGAGAGTCATTGCCTGCCCCCCAGCTTCCATATTAGGCGGGAAGGCATCACCAGGTGACAAAGAAGCATGGAGCCGGCTCTCTGGCCAATCAGGAATCTGGGGGGCGGGTAGTGATTTGCAGCCTGGCTTACTGATTGGCCAACAAGAAAGCCGGGCGGCAAGTCATTACACACCACCTGGCTTCCTGATTGGCTGGGAATCCGACTCCATGGCCAATCAGGAAGCCAGGTGGCATGCAATGACTCACCGCCCAGCTTCCTGATACCGGAAGTACCTGTATCGGGAGCATTCGGGCGAGTACGAGTATTTGACCAAATACTCGGTATCGGTGTATCCCTAATATCTATATTTTGTCTCTACTGGAGAGTACAGATCAGGAATATTCAGATACCAAGTATAGTACATGTACAGATACTTTTCCAGCTCTAAGACTAGACTAGAAAAACTCAGTTAGGAGGCAGCTGTGATTTGTAAGGAGCACACGGAGCTCCTGGGATTTGTACATTTCTGTTTTAATGTACAATTTTGTTTTTATAAATATAAATAAAGAGATGCACCGATACCAGTTTTTCAAGTACGAGTATCTGGACATCCCTAGTACAGATGTTGCTATACTTCTGGACTGCTGTGGATATGAGTCCTGCAGCTCTCATACACAGAAGCCAGTTGATCCCCCCACTTGACCGTTCACAGAACACAGTGGGGGGTATTTATCAAAAATGGAGCATACAAAATCTGGAGCAGTTGCCCATAGTAAGCAATCAGCATCACTCTTCAGTTTAGATTTGAAACTAAAACGGAGAAACTGATTGGTTGGCATGCACTACTACTCCAGATTCTGTCTGCTCCAGTTTTTGAGAAATACCCCCCCTGTGTATTCTGTGAAAGGAGCCTGGAAATTGCACCCGTGACGCACTAATTGCGATTGTAATGTCTGCAGGCTTCATCGCAAACATGATATGAATGCACATTCCTTCATTTTATTAATGTAGGAGCATTTATTACATTCTTGCACAAGGTGGACTATACCTTTAATATATAGAAATGTAAGTAAAGTACCCGGAGGAAACTCAAACAAGCACAGGCAGAACCTGCAAACTCCATGCAGACAGTGTCCTGGCCGGTGATGTGTCCCCGGCGATACAAATGTCCCAATCACTAGGTCACCACCATGCGGCTGACTTTCTAACCTACAAAGCCCCTCTGGATTAAGAGTAGTGATGGCAGAAGCAGCCAGGCAGGTGGTATTTATAGAAGGAGGTCAGTAATGGCTGCCCCCCTAGAATCCTCTCACAAACGGTTTCATTTACACAAAAAAAAAGTGGATAAAACCCTTTGCAGGAAATCGTTCCCCATTCTCCTCCACTCATCACTCGCATGCAGAGCTAGCATTAGCCTAACGGAAATGACCTGAAGCCCCGCCCACCTTCCTGACGGAAGTGCGGCATTGGTTCTCCGGAAGTGCCCGGTGTTGTGACGTTCGGGGTTTAGGTCTGAGAGATGAAGCCAGCGGTGGATGAGATGTTCCCGGAGGGAGCCGGTCCCTATGTGGACCTGGAGGAGGTGAGACGGGAGGCTCTAATGCACTCTCCACGGCTGGTCCTCTCCTAGCTCAGGGCTGCACACTTCCATGTTGTGGTCAGCGGCACGTCTGCCCTGTTTATTGTCAACATTAGAATGGCGCTCAGACTTCAGTCTTCATGTGGGAACAGTATATCTGTGGGGGGAAGTGGACTGTCTGTAGAGCAAGCCTGCACGTATTGAGAAGGTTCCCCCTGAGGAGTGCCGTAATGTACACGGGTCGGTGTGCGGCTCCCGTGCATACTGTCCACCGTGCATACCCTGCGCCCTCATACTGTATACACTGTATACTCTGTGCTCCCTGCATACTGTATACTCTGTGCTCCCTGCATACTGTATACTCTGTGCTCCCTGCATACTGTATACTCTGTGCTCCCTGCATACTGTATACTCTGTGCTCCCTGCATACTGTATCCTCTGTGCTCCCTGCATACTGTATCCTCTGTGCTCCCTGCATACTGTATCCTCTGTGCTCCCTGCATACTGTATACTCTGTGCTCCCTGCATACTGTATACTCTGTGATCCCTGCATACTGTATACTCTGTGCTCCCTGCATACTGTATACTCTGTGCTCACTATACGCTGGGGGGGGCACCTGCTCTATGACAGATATCTGTAAGGGGAATTCCCCTTACTTTAGAGAGAATTATTCTCAGGTCCGGTTGTGTCTCCAAGGCATAAAAATGAATAAAAATCTCCGAAATGGGACACAAACAAAATAAAACAGTTTTGGCAGTGCATACACTTAACTATGTTTGTCAGAGGTTACCTTAGAGGAAAAATTGGAAAAGAAATGCACGTTTTGCTGCAATACTTTCCTTCAGCCTAGAGCTGACAAGCCCTCCATACTTCTACGCCACTAGACGTCCTCATTCTTGCAGTACAATTGACAGGACAGTAAGGGGGAAGTAGAAAGCTGATTTGTTCATCTATGCCACTGAATCAGAATGCTAATTGTCAGCACTTAAACATAAGCACATAATGGGCTTGTTGTGCTGCTTCTCCTTCACGCAGTCTGAGCTTTGCTGTACATGAGCTGCAGTATACTAATACCAGGTCAAATTCAGGTACTTACACTGCTTGCTCTGCGGTTTTAGGGCCAGTTCACACCATATGCAGTTTGATGCAGTCCGTTTATTTTGACTGCTGCAGCCAAAATACATCCCAATGCTTTCCTATGGGCTTTCTTGTGCTTAATTCACACCATTGCAGTCCGTTCAGATGCAGTCAGAAAAAGTACTGCTTGTCCTAATTTTACCTGCATCTAACTGCACGAAACGCATGAAAACACAGTGCAAACGCAACGGAACGGATACAAAAAAACCCCCAGAATTGATTGTGGCATCATCCAGGGACATGCAGGGGAAATAAACGCATCACAAACGCGTCAAAAAGGATCGCTATGACACTGCGCAGGCGTAAGCAGTTGTGATGCAGTTTCTGGTGTGAACTAACCCTTAGAACAAATACATTTATTTATGTAGTAAGGCATTCTTGCATGTCAATTTGTGTCTTTTATATCTTCCTAAAATTGGACCAGAAATGTGAGTCAATGGAGTGTCGCTTTTTTTTTTGTTTTTTCACACCCATACATTTTTGGGTTACCTTTCAATGGCATCTGTTTACATCCATTGAAGATTTGGTGCTAACGGATTCGGTGTGAATGGGGCATAAGCTGTTAATATAATTTTTATAGAATAAATACTGAATAAATA